TATACAGTGTAGGAAAGTACCGATGGTCTATCAGAAGTTACGTGAGAGCGATAAAGTAAGCCATAGAAATCCATGTGATAGACAAGGATGGCTATACTGAAGGCGTCTAATAGTCACCGTCCATTTCGCCCTTCCACAAATAAGATCCACTTCTTATTTGTGGAAGGGCGAAATGGGCTGTGACTATTATACGCCTTCATTATAGCCAACTTTCTCTATCGCACGGATTTCTATGACTTACTTTATCGCTCTCATGTAACGGCCGATGAACCATGGGGATTTTCCGACTCTGTAGATGAAATCTCAGAAGTTTTTAAGTTTTCTACACAAATTTCTGTTATACATTTTATTTAAATCATAATTGGATTCATTAATTACAAAAACAAAGCAACACATAAGTATAGGAAGGAAATAGTACAATCTTCAAATAAAACACAATATATTCAAGTCCAGTTAACAAACGAATTTGGAAAACACTTTTAAAGATGATTATACCATCTTATGTCTTTACATAGCACATATATCAGTATCATTTTGCATCTAACAAATGACAACAATTAGATAATTATATTTTCTTTATAGGAATTTGTTTTGCAAATTATTCAGGACCACCAGCATGGGTACCAAGAACAACACTTAATGCGTCTGCGTTTGAGTATGTGACAGATCTAAAATTAAATAAACCAATACAATAAAAGCCTATGTCAAGTTCAGATATATCTTAGTATTTTTTATATAAAAGTAAATGTAGAAAATTTTTATAAAGAATTTTATATAGAAACAGAGATAAATATGAATTCAATAGTAAAGGGTAAGGCAAAATGAAGTATGCATTTTAAATTTGATCGTTTTAATTAGTGACAATTTTATTTTTTTTTTCAAAAACCAAACAAAAGGACCTTGAGGAAACACAGAAATTTAATTTTTTAAAATTACATCATTAAATGACCTCCTCTATGCTGCCAGCATTCTTGAAATCTAATACGAAAGTTTTGTATCATCCGCTCCAACATTTGAATAGGGATTGCGTTAATTTCCGAAGGAATATTATTTATTCACTTTGTCCAAAGTTTGCGGTCGATTAGAAAACACTTTTGACTTTAGGTAACCCCATAAAAATAAATCAGAAGCAGATACCCTGCGACCGTACCGGCCAATTGAGGTTCCCAAATTTCGAAATGACGCGACCAGCAAACATTCTTCGCAGAATTGCCATAGACTCCCTAACAGTGTGGGAAGTGGTTTCGTCCTGCTGAAACCATAGTTGTCGAATACCCACATCAACATTACGAAGATATTGTTCAATTTACACAATCCCTGCGGATAACGTTGTGATGTATAGTCGTTACGATATCAGTTGGAACCGCATAAAAACATTTAACTCATAAACTCTACGGAATCCATAGGCGCCCAGAAAAATTTTGCCCTGTCTCGTCTAGATATACTATATTGCGAGCTATATTCCTATTTAGTTGACGATATTCTCAAATTTTTTGTAAATAATCTTCCCGAAGTGCAACTATACGTTATAAGTTTTTTATCTCCAAAATCGCACTGTAATAAAATATGTCGTAAAGTATCTAAATATTTATAATTATAATCAGGATAATCACTTAATTTATCTCAAATCATGTTAGTAGGAACTTTATTTTCTTTATACATATTATAAATTGT